CAAATTCTGGATTTTCCTTCTAAAAGTTGTCTGCCTAAGTCTTTCACACATCAGACTCACACATAGACTTGGAACAGGATCATCATTTTAAGATTTTAAGTAAGTACTGAAAACATTGAGGTTTCCTAATGATAGTTTTACCTGCCCTAACTCATGTTTGCACTATTTGTCAGGACAGGTGGTTTTAAGACAAATTAATTTTTGGTAAAGCATTTCCTAACTAGGTGGAAAAGAATCAATTCCTCTTTTTTCTTTGCTAGAATTTACAGCTTTGCACAGCTAAGTCACCAGCGCATCATTTACTCTTCTGTGAAAAGAGGAACACGGAGAAACAAGGAGGTAGAGAAGATTTGCCCGCAAGCATTTTTTTAAAGGCTAGCTAACAAAGACTGGTATATTCTAGGGAATTAAACAGATAAGCATTGTTAAAAGCTTGTAAGTAATGATACCCACACTTAATCAGTTCTAGATAATACAATAAAACAGCTGATAATGATAATGGATAATCAGAAATTAAATAGGTAACATTAATATGAGTTTACAGGAAAAAAAACTTCTCTTTTTTTTTTTTTAAGATTACAAATTTGCTTGACAAAGGTAGTTGATATATAGACTTAGAGAGGGAACCACTGTGATTGTGTAGTTTGACCTCCTGCCTAACACAGTCCATCGTACTTCCACTTTTAAGTCCAATCTTTGTTGCTGGACTTATGTCTTAGAATAGTCTCCTGTATTTATTTTTAAATGGCCAGATATGGAGAACTGATCATGAGCCAGGATGACTTGTGTTAGTGGTTGATTTCCTGGCAAGTTAGAATATATGTGTGATATTTACACTTGCCTGCTTTCAGCTTCTAGACAATTAAAGATTTATGCCCAAACCAGCTTATAAGATCTGACTCTCCTGTTACCAAATTTCCACTCCCATGGATGTCACAAGATTATATACCATGTATGTTCCCAGCATGACCTGCATTTTGGATTATTCTTGTGACTTTTCCCGTGAACGTTCTAACAACTGTTCAGCAGCTTTCTTGAAGCTTAGACATCATTACTGCACACTATATTCCAGTTATGCGAGTGCCAAAAGCACAGGTAAAGCATACTCCCCGCTCCACTCAGTGTTACCTACTTCCAAGATCACACCAGCTTTCCTGGGCCCACAGCATCATGCTACAAGCTCATATTCAGCTCATGAGCCATAAGAACCCTCAAGCCTGTCAGACTGGTTGTTTCCTAGGTCAAAGTCCCTCCACTATGCACATTTATTCACTGACATACAACCATGCTGTGACATTCTTTGTTTGCTTACATCTTGTTTATCAAAGCACTTTGTCTCAGATATTGGACAGATTCTAAATGAGATGGGGTGAGGTAGGATGAAAACCTTGCACTGAGGTTATTTCACGTGCTCATTAGTAATTATGCACGGTGCTTTTTAGCAGGCAGAAAGAACATTATTACCTTTGCCTCCAAAGAGAGGAAGCGTGGAGATCCTTGATGCAGAGATTATTTAGACCTATTTTTCAAAATCTTTCAGCCCAAGAATTATTGTCAAACTTCTGAATTTGTCATGGAGAAACACATACGCTGCACATTAAAAACACAATGCAGGTAAGATGGTTCTCCAGACCAGTCAAGAGTTTCTGATTTGCCTCACCGCGAATGGTGGGGGTGAGATGAGAAGAAGTACCGTTGTGCTCCTCTGCAAGGAGCTACTACAGATCCTTAGCCGAGACACGATTCCAGGCTATACGAGCTTTCGTCTGATCGAGTACAGCAGTTTATGCTACGTAAGTGCCTCTGTTCCTGACCTGTTCTTCACTGCTTATCACTTTTTGTGTCATCTGCAAACATTTTCTATCTTATTTTTTTCAAGGCCATTGATGATAATATCATATAAAAGGATGCAAAGAACCACATGAAACAATTAGTCATAAACCTACTTGATGATAGATTTTGTATAATTTACATTTTCATACCTGCAACTTAACTAGTTTTAATCAATATACTACATCCATATTTATTTTGTACAATTTTGGTAAGAAGTGAAGTTTGTAACAGATAAACTCCACACACTGACCTGAGCTAGCTGGATTTTAACAATCTGTGAATGTATGTTGCATATTATACTCATTCACTATACATTTGAAAGCTTTTGGGGGGTGAGTGTAAGTGTGTGAGAAGGTTAAGTTAAAGAAGGTGTGAAGATGGTGATGTGAATTTCTATGCTGACGGCTGAATTGGTTAGACTGAAGTATACTGCACTAAGCTGAACTATGTGGAACACTATATAATGCATACTCTTACTTATGTCAGTAGAGCACAGATTTTATCACATGCTCATTTTTAGATAAAAATAATAAATAATTTGTCATATCTCACACACAAAGAACTAAAAAAAGCTTTTAAAATGTGCCCACTTTACATGACACAACACAATCTTATACGGTGCATTCAAGGGATACTTCCCCAGTACTGCACACTCGCATCGACACGCCGCAGAACGCTGCCAGGCTCTGCTTTCACACAGACAACCAAGAGCCAAGCTTCCATGACTCACATAACAGCAATGCAATACAGTAAGAGTTTTCTCTCGCCTGGATTCTCTGGTAAAATTCTACTGTTTGACTACCAGGGATTCAAGTCAAATACTTTGAAAATACAAGTTACCCACAACTCTTTTTCCTTCAAATTCAAAGGTGGGCAAAATAAAGCAAACGCAGGGTAGGGATATAGGGCCAGCATCTTGTAGCAGCACACAGAAATACTTCAGGCTTCTGAAAGAGATGAAGCCTCCTAGAACTTACAATTATGGAACAGCTGAGAAGCATGTTAGACTAAACAATAATCAACTACATCAGTCCTCTGCCTCTAAACTGTAGACCTAAATCTGTCCTCTATTCATTGTGTGTGATGTGTCGCACATGGAAAGACGACGGTTGGTTCTACCGTATAGGTTTCTAATTTAGGCTAATCACCACTACAACCAATCCACCTTCTAAGAGAGTAGCTTGATAAGTATAACTTATAGTGGCAGGACTGGCATATGCAGCCCCAGCCACTCATTCCCACTACTATTATTCCTCTCAGTTGTGCCAAAGCAAATGCCCGCCTGCTACACAGTGAAGTTGATTAGAAAACTGATCTGGGTTTAACTTTTATTCTTGCTGGACTATTTTTAACCCAGACTAGTCCTTAACTCAGTGAACTACGTGACCCTAAAGGAAAACAAACAAATAACAAGACCCTAAACTCTAACAACAACAAAAACAAATTCCTCCATGGAATCAGCAAAAGTGGCAGGGCTGAACGAAATCAAGGGCAAATGTTCATAGCGAACATCATCACAAGCTGAGAAGATAACAGGCTGTTAAAAAGACTTTTTACTAACAATCTTCCAAGCAGAACTGTCGGTCACTAAAAGAGGCTCTTCGTTTTTTTCCATGAATCTGTTTAGTTTAACTATAGATAGAACCAGTCCACATACATTCTCAACACGTTTTCCTCAATTGTCATTTTGCCATGAAAACCTTTACTACAACACAAGATACCAATCCGTGTGTACTTGGCTTCACAGTCTGCAGTATGTGGAAATATAAACCACACGAAAATTCGTTAATGCTCTACACATGCATAAACTATTCTGTAAAGTCAAGCATGGCTATTAAGTCCAAGTAGGTATTGTACATAGCAGTGAAGAAATGAATAAGAAGCAGCATTAAGACGCTCACAGCATTATCCTGCTTTTGAGGGTAAGCCCTGCCCGAAACCATGTCCCTAGCCTACCACATGTAAATCGGCCTGCGTCCCTCTTACCTCATTATTCATTCAGAATGTGAGATGTGCATCATTAGCTAGGCACTAATTTGTTCCTAAACTGCACTCATTCATCATTAGCTGGCAGTGAGAGGTTGATCAAGTCACTTGTGGAACACTTCCGTGACCCTCCCATGAATTGCGTATTTTCTGCATGACTGACTTAAAAAATTCCCTAAAAGTTATTTTAACTGTTTTAGCAACCAGTATGTTAAGCAAGATGATTTTTGTGGTCAGATGAGTCACGGAGATATCTCTCTGTCATATTCACACATTATCTTCTGTATTCTGAACCTAAGAGTTTGGCATTATCTGTTGTATTCTGCATAAAGCGTATTTGTGTACTGATCTTTTTTAAATGACATCTCTGATGGACTGCTACTACAAATCATGGCTTGGGATCTGGTGTTCCACACAGTGATGTCCCTTCACTTGGGAGGCGCACAGTTTTCAATGAGGGTTAGTTAGAATGTGTGAGAGGGTTACTCTGAGATGATTCAGGTAATAACTAAGATAGTCTTATATCTCTTCTTGACTTGGATATATCTCTGCAGAACCATTTTAAATATTGCAGCACTGTCGGTTTGCCAGTAACTTAACTTGTGCCTCAACTGTCTGTTCAGACTGAAGAAAATACATTCTCAGTAATAATTTAGTAGACCAAGAACTACTAAAATCCACAGTATAACTCACTGTATTTTGTGGCAATTATGTTTTTGTAAACAAGAAGCCCATTTTATAGAAATATTTTTTTAGAAAATGTATGGATATAAAAACATTATGACAGATTGGGAATTAAATACATTTCCAATGCATAAGATGCCTAGCATTCTAGTTAAGGAAATTTCTGTTATGGAAATTTTACAGAGACTATTTTTGCCTACTCATAGACCTCTGATTTTTTTGCCAGTTTATAATCATTTGTAAAAATATTAGCATAACAGAAGTTAGAGACAGAAACAACACAATAAATCACTCAGTTTATCCACTAACCAAAGTTATTTTCGTAGAAGACTTATTAGATGCTCATCACTTCTTAATATAGTTGCATTTTTTCTTTAACAACTAAAATGCACTTTTCTTTTTTTCCTATATATTTCCTATATAGAACTGTTCACCCTAGAAAGAAAGAGCCAAATGTTCAGGTCCATGCACTGAACTGTACCAAGTCACAGATTTACCTGATTTGTCAGAGGGAAGAGAAATGCTTTTGTCTGCAGTATCCAGGATAACAGCTAGCCCTTCAGAGAGTGATGGGAGGATGCTGGCACTGAGATCCACGCGAGTTAGACTTTCAGGTTCTCTTTCCAAGCCTTTTAGAAAACCTCCAGCATGGTTATCTTCCGTCTCATCCTTTTTCTGCCTACTCTTCTGTGGACTCTGAACAATATGAACAATACTCTGCTGCGCCAGGTCACAATTCTGAAACACAAAACCAAAATCCCAATAAATAATTAATTGTGACATAAGGGATAAAATCCCTCTATCTCCAATTCGTTATTTGTTAAATGGTCTCCAAGCCATTTCCTGCAGAATTTCAGTGTGCAGTAATGGAGTTTAAAGGAAAGTGACAAGTGTAAATTGGTGGAATTAGGATTGCTTGCATTGGCAAAAGGGTCACAACACTTACAAATTCTAAACATTTAACAAGGAAGTGGTGGATCAGAGCCAAGAGCTCTAAATAAGTCTGCTTTATTGGCAAAAAAGAAAAACTCCAGAGAGAAGACTACTACTAAGTCACGTTCTAAAAATAGTCAATACATAAAACGCATATGTACAGATAATATTGATACACACTCTTCATATAACAATTCAGGGTCAAATTTGACAGTCATAAAGGTTCACGACCAAGTTACCCCAAAAGAATCTCTGTAAGCAGAAAAAGGGAAGATGATGCTTCTGATGAAAAATAACACTTATTTCTTTGTCTGTAATGTAGTTTTCAATCTAAATCTGGCCTTAGCTGTGCACTCAGTGTGACTTCTCCATTCTTTCCAAAGATCACATTTAGTTGTTATCTTAAGAATTACAGGGAACTCGTGGAAGACATCGTGATAGTTATAGTCTTTTCTGGCAAAACAAAGGAATTGCTGCCCGTTACCCCAAGAGATCTCACTTGTATATAGTAATCTCTTTCTCAGTGGTCATTGGAGGTGATTCTTATTCAGCCAGTCTTTCCAGGTCTTAGAAAAAAAGCCGGCTAAATAAGAATTTTATGAAAGGTCTACCCATGATAATCAGGATAGAAGGCAAATATTTTCTGCAATTTTCCAACTGTGGAATGGGAACACAAAGCATCATCTTAAAACTAGAAATTACAGAGATTTCATAAGACCTAGACTTCATGTCTCTGATTCTTGGGTTCATAAGATTCCCAAACATCTGAACTTTGCTCAGTATACGCTTTTATCAGTTTTTCTCATCTGGATGAAAAATTCTGTTTTGAGATATTTGTGCTTATTATTAATGAAGGGCTTTCCAGAAAGGCTTGTATCGACCCTTTCATAGCATATCTTAAAAATTATTCTTATTTGGGTGATACCTCCTAGAGATCCACGTCTCACTCTCCACTGTGATGAATGAACAACAAATATTTATGTGTCAAGCTACACATGAAGAAGTTTGAATTTCACAAAAAGAAGTTTTATTACTTTAAAAGTAATTTTATAACTCTTGTCAGCATCATTAGGTTGGTCACGTCTGCACTGAAACATCAAGACAGATTGCTGTTTACATTTTGGAAGAACAGAAGGAGAATTCAGAAGAATTTGTCCCAGTATCTACATAATGTTTTTAATTTTTAGTTTGTATTTGCAATTATTACATGTACTTTTAATTGAAAAAGATTCCTTTACAGACATTTTAGTCCTTGTCATTGTCCTACTTGATTGCCTCCTCTCTCTTCTACCACATTTTTCTCTCCCGGACTGGTAATTTCTGTTTAGTGATTTTACTTCAGACATTCTCTCACATTATTTCTCATCACTCCCATCTCTATCCATTATTTCTTATGTAATGCAATTCTAAAATAGAAAAATACGTTGATTTTTTTAATTTGAATTTTTAATAACACACTTTCCCTAGTGAAGCTGTAACTCAGTCAGTAGAGATTTGCTAGGTAAGGACTTTGCAGACTTAATATTCAAACAATGCAGTTACTAGATTTGAACTTAAAAACATTATGTTAACATTAAAGGTCTACTTTTTGTATAACTTGTTGCTCATTACATTTTAACGAGATCCATTTAAATAGCTTAATAATTTAATTAATTAACATGAAACCCAAACCCCAGTTATCACTCTAAACTCCTCCAAATAAGAATACTGTAAAACATTAGAGCAGATAATTTAATAGACTAAATTAATAACAACACTAGTAAAAGAGAAAATGAGAAGCTCAGAGGTGATTTGCTCAGTTTTGGCTAGAATCACAAAGGGAAATGGGCATATATGTAAAAATTTGCAACCTTGAAACCCCCTAGTCAACTGTTAATAGGTTAAAATAAGTTTAATGAGCATCTCTTCTGGTAGTTCTGCTTGCTTTAGCCTGCCCCTATCCTACCTCCTTCTATTTCTTCTCACCCTCTGCTGTCCTTCCCAATTTCATTTCATTTTATTTTTTAAGTTGTGATCAGTTCCCCGATTCAGTTCACTGCTTGATGCCACAACCACTGCAACAGTCAGAACTGAGGGGTCGGTTCAGAAGCAAGATCAAGAGGGACAATGGCAAGAGATGCGGAAAACCTTACTAGGACCAAAGGAAATGCCCTGGCCACACCAAAGCGTCTTTCAGTCACTCTTGCTTGGGCTTGACTGCTTCGACATGCATGTCTGGCACGTGGCTTAAATCAATTGATTTTAAAAGGTATAGGGTCCTGTCCAGTTCTCTTTGCGGCTGGCAGGTATGTAGTTAGTTTACAAATAAAGTAAGAACTGACAAGATAAAGGCCTATCTTATATTGCATTCCCTTTCTGATAATGTCAATCACCAGATAATTCAAATACAGACATAAAATTTGCACTTTGGGCAACTATACATCTATATGACCAAGGAAACTTACTCCTGGCTTTTACTTAGCAAAGTTTTCTTTTTAAAAGAACAGGTTTGTTTGTTTGTTTACTAATGAATAAATAGGTGAATATGTTGGGGTTTAGCTTCCTTACACCTCTTCATCAGAAACAAGAACAAACTTTGGATGATTGAGCATTGTTACTGGTGATGATAATAAGGTAGGTGCCATACAAAGGGAAGCTTAATTAGCAGATGCCAGGATAAGTTTTCAAAGCTAACTGCTAGAAAGAGAAAAAAAACAAAAAGCATCCTTTTATTGGGTATACTTTTACTGGGTATATTTAATATGGATGTCACTGAGCAGCAAGAAACATGAAAAACCAAATCATCAGTTTTGCAAATGTTGTTTCTGTCTCCATTTGAAATTTAGCTTGTGTTTCAAGGAGGAAAACAATTCCCTACTTTTGCAAGAAAAGAGAGGGGCAAGTACAAGAAAAAAAAAATAGTGATTATATCCTAAATGTGAAGAAAGGTGGATTAGAATCTCTCCAAACAGGCCCCAGAATTGTAGGGATTAGTGCTTTGTAGTAGGCTACATTTTATAGACAGTAGATGGGCTAGGTCTGCAGCTTTTCTCACTGAGAGAGGAGGCAGAATTCAAATTATTTCAGTGAGTTTTTAGGTTTTGCCTTAGGTTACTACTGTAACACAAATATAAGATACAATTGTTTATGTCAATGCCACTTTCATTTCCTTCATATGTTTGTTTTATGCCTCAGGAAATATTTCTTTCGAGAATATCTATTATTAATGATTCCAGAGATATTGTCTTGTCTTATCTGCTGATCCAAATTAATGCCTGTGATCCATATTCCAAAGGGAAATACTGTAAGTGTATATATTGAAGATTATGAAATATCTCCTTTCACTAGAACAAACGGAGCTGAGAAGATCCAGATATGATGAAAACCCATTATTAAAGGCTGATTCTTTTCAGAGAATGGTTTTGGGCCAACTTGGAAAAACGAATTAATAACAGATAAAGTTCAAACTTTTTTTCCTCAAAAAGCTTTTGCTTTCATACTCTTTTCTGACTTTGCAAGCCGAATTTCACAAGGCTAAATCAGCACATCCTGAGTGAGTGCTACTCTTTGGTGCTGTCAGCTGCAGGCAGACTAGAAGGCCATTTGGGGAGAGCGAGGCAAAGTATGGAGAGGAAGGAGATGATCTGGTTGCAGTCACTCTGAAATCCTCTTATTCTGACAAATTTCCACTTGACAACTTCATTAACAACCTAGTTTGATAGTGACAATAATGCTGAGAGAAGTGTTCTCCATCTAGCAAATATATAACCCACTGGAGAAGTCATATAACCTTTTCTGAAGTAAGATGCATTTTATTTGTGAAATGTCTTACTTACTTAAAGAAACACTAAAGGAATTGTGTTTGGGGAGTGGAGCTTACAACCACATGAGACTAGGATCAATTTTAAAAGTATCACCCCTCCTTGATTTTGTAATTCATAATGACATTCAAAACCTGAAAATCCTGTGAAAACAGAACAGTGCATGGAGGCTCTCGTATGCTGTGGTGCAGAATGTCTGAAACATATCAGAGTTAATATACTCTGATGAAAACAGTCAAATAGGGGAATGGTCTATGCTAGTCAAACAAATAAGAAGCTCGTATAAAGTAAATCCACAGTATTCACTTCAGCACACATGGGAAACAACTGTTACCAAGAGGACACTTGAACACAAGATGATGAAAGCCAGCTTCTCTTTTCATTCCTTTGCTGGTATAGAGAATATCTCTTTCCTATTCACTATCTGCCCTGCATCCCTCACTGTGTTTTTACTTCAACTCTTCCTTCTAATCTTCCTAAACCAAAGCAGTGGCAGAGGACAGCCTCCTCTCTCAGTCTCTCTCAATCGCAATCTCAATCTCTCTCTCTCTGTTTTTTTTGGCAGGAGGGAGGGAGGAGTAGCATTTTTTTATAACTATCCCCTGGGACCACTTAACTGAACGCTTCCCTTCTTCCGTCTAGTTGAACGCTTAACAGCTGAGTTCAGAGAGGATTCTCATTGTTTCACCTCAAGTTCTGGGTATTCCACAGGCTAGAGAAGTCAGGTCCCTCAAGAAAAACCTCAAAAATAAATTGCTGAGCCCCCTATAATGGTAAAAAAATAGGTTATTTTCTCAATGAAAAGCAGCCAAACAAAAATAACCTTAACTATCAACATTTTTAGAAGAAGAAGGGGAAGGAGGAATGGAGAGCTGGGTGAAAAGCAAAGGAAGGAATAGTTGAGCTTTCCCTTTGTACAGAGATCTAAGAGGAGATCCTGTTATGTTCACAGCCTGCCAAAAAATGAAATACCAGCCAACTACCTCATTTTCTGTGTTAAATAAA